TCATACTCGAAAGAGAAACGAAGCTTCGTGTTTGTTTTTCTTCAAACCCCAATCCGCTCTCGCTCGCCGCTACTAACGGGGTCTCGGTTGATTTCCCTTCCTTTAGCTACTAAGATGTTTCAGTTTGCTAAGTTTGAAAAGTCCAAAGAGCGCAGACTAGCCGCGGAGCTTGGATACGGTTTCCCGATCGGAGATCCATGGATCAAAGACGGTATCTCCCCATGGCCTTTCGCCTCTGAAAGCGTCCTTCCTTCTCAATGCCCGGGCATCCATCCAATGCATTCTTTTCGATCTTGTACCCAGCAAGAAAACGAATGCGCGAACGCGGCTTTCGCGCAGCTCAATCCCTTGCTTGTTCGCTTCGCATAGGCTACACAAGCGGTACACTGCACACCAAGCCAATCTCGAAGAAAAAAGTTAACTACACGCAACTACATCTGTGAACTGGGAGGGACGGAATCTACGCTACGATCTTTCTTCTCTTATGAAATTGATAGTTACAGAAAGAGATCATTTCTAAACCGGAATCTTAGGATACCACCACTAATAGAAGGACAAGGACCGGAGACTTGAACACCAGCCAGATAGGCATTCACCAACAAAGACTAGCACATCGCTTACTGATGAAAGACCGTCTGCTGGATACACCATTCCTACTACTGCTGAATCGAACAAAATAGCGATTATGAAAAAAATAATTTTTTTTAGGAGTTGGGGAATCTAGGCCTAATCTATTAGAATAGGTCTAGGCTGGCAGGTCGAAGCCTAAAGACTTTCAAGGTCAAAACCATTCCGCTCGAAAACCAGCCTTCAAAGAAAGTCAAAGACTGGTGGACCGCATACGCGCTTACTTTTTTTTGTTTGATAGGCTGATCCCTAGGCTGAAACTTATATGCTTCTATCACACTCTTCTTTCGCCCCAATGACGATGAATTAGGGTTGTAGAGCGGGTCAATCCTTGGAGCTTTCTCCATGCCCGACAGAGAAAACTTGGTGCGAATCGGGGTACATACGCTCCTGCTCGTCTAACTAATGTACTGATGTAATTCCTAATATGGCTGCCCGGAGAATCCGTAGCTGCTAAGGAAGAGGGTCGAGCCATAACGGATTGATGTGGTGTAGCGGCGACTGGAATCGATCTGAATGAAGCTTCAAGCGTAGTTATGGGGCTTCTCCTATACCCCCCGCCTATATGGAGTGGAGGAAGATTTGGTGGGGAAGGTCATAGTGAAGTCAGCAAGCAGGAAAGTAGCCGCCCCTCTTTGATTGTGCACAGCCCCTGCCACGAGACACCTAATCGAAGAAGCGCCTTCCTCTCATCTTTTTTAGAATTCAACATCCAGTTCATAGAGAACTGCCTACTCCCACCTCGACTCTTTGATATTCCGTCAGTAAGTCAGTGCATCAAAAAAAGAGTCATGCTCTTCCTATTTGAAAGGAAAGGGGCTTTAGTTAAGTCATCGATTCCAATCCTATATTTATTTTTTTTTGTTGGTCAACAACCACATATCGTTTCTTTTCCTTCAAGACTTCGGACAGAAAGAGAGTCCGGAGGGAATCATTGAGAAACAATCAATCATGCCTCAACTGGATAAATTCACTTATTTGGTCATGTCAGAATTTGCACCTATTTGTCTCTCATTCGTGATCAGTCTGCTAGTTTCTTTGATCTTACTCGGTCTGATTTTTGTTAATCCAACACGAAAGTTGCCCCCAGGCGAGGTTTTTCCTATGGCTCTCGGTCTTTTATCTTGCTTTGGCACTCCTCTTGCCTTTAGTGCCGACACCGTACCTTCCCCTTCGGATTTGTTTACGTATACTTCCGACATGCTGGAAGACTCGGCGAGTTCCGGGCGTAGTAGTAGTACCTCAGCGGTCAATCAACCGCTTCCGGGGGAACAAGCTATGCCTCCCGCTCTTCCTGTTATGCAGGAAGCTGCTCTGCCCTACCCCTATCAAAATAATGAGATTATAGGGGGGGACAGTGTTGAATCCATCCAACGGAGGCTTTTGGGGAGATTCCCCTCCCCTTCTGCCCATGAGATTCAAATGGCCCGGATTGAAGCCGAAGACCTATTCGAGGTCAAGGTCGATATCTGTCAGGTCATGGCGGGCCTTCACCCAAGCGGGGATTGGATGGGACGGGGGGCTAGAGCTCTAGATAATCTTCGTACCGCCACAGGGGAGGAGTCCTTAAGTCAGCTCCTTCGAATGCGTGAGGACCTGGAGACTGCAGGTTTGCAGTCCGCAACCTTCCGGCAATTGGCCGACAGAGTGCCATTCCGGGCGGATGCGGATCAACACTCAGCCACCTAGGACAGGATGAGATCGCGTGCAAGACGCGACGCTCCCTATGATATCTGAGGTCTTTTTCCCATGCATCGGTCAACAACCAAGCACAGCTCTCTATAGTTATTCACTACTCCGTGCAGGAAAGACTATCTTTCTGTCTGGAGGTAATTTTTTTGTCTCAATCAATCATGCCTCAACTGGATAAATTCACTTATTTCACACAATTCTTCTGGTCATGCCTTTTCCTCTTTACTTTCTATATTCCCATATGCAATGATGGAGATGGAGTACTTGGGATCAGCAAAATTCTCAAACTACGGAACCAACTGGTTTCAAACCGGGGGAACAAAATCCGGAGCGAGGACCCCAACAGTTTGGAAGATATCTTTAGAAAAGGTTTTAGCACCGGTGTATCCTATATGTACTCTAGTTTATTCGAAGTATCCCAATGGTGTAACGCCGTCGACTTATTGGGAAATAGGAGGAAAATCACTTTTATCTCTTGTTTCGGAGAAATAAGTGGCTCACGAGGAATGGAAAGAAACATCTTATATTTGATCTCGAAGTCCTCATATGGCGCTTCTTCTTCAAATCCTGGATGGGTGATCACTTGTAGGAATGACATAATGCTAATCCATGTTCCACACGGCCAAGGAAGAATCAAAAAATAAGAAAGGTATTGCTTTTTTTATAATAGTTGCTCGTTCGTTCATAAATTCACTCGACCACTTGTTAGTCTTGCTACACGACACGAGTCTAGGGTGAAGTTGAAGCAGACACGGGCAAGTAAAGTCGACTTCACAAGTGATTCAACATACCATATATATGGATGGAAATCAAAAAGGAGATAAGGGTCTCGCCCAGGTGGCTCCCGCAAGGTAACGACTTCAAACTCAAACAAAGAACGTTCTTCTCCAAGGCATGAGTCAAAGAAAATGCTGTATGTATTGCAAGACCCGTCGATAAGCTAAGGCTACGACATGAAGGAAGGCCAGAAGAACTACAGAACCACGCCCACCAGAGCTAAAGGAGACCGAAGGGACTTGCGGGAGGTGAAGGTCGCTGGCTTGCCCGTGGGCCGTGGTATCTGACGGGACATTGGCCTCCCTCCCGCTACGGCTCGCTGTACGTTCCTTTAGCTATAGGCGTGTCCAATCCGAGAATAGTCTGTTCCACATAGTGCAAGGAAGCTCAGTGGGGTTTCATACGAGGGTCCTGCGTACTGTGCCATCGTCCAACCAGTACAGTACGGCCATTTCAAATCGCCCCGCGAAGCTTTCGGGAAGAGGGGTAGTCTTGCGTTCAGAAAGAAAGGTTATCGAGATTATAAATAGCTCTTTTTAGTGGGGAGGAATAGTGCTGGAAGGGAGCGAGACCAAGCCGAGCCACTAGGAGAGTAAGCCCTTCCCACGTGTAAAGTTTAATAAAATAATGCAGCCTCAACCAGAGAGAGAAACCTGCGCCGCCGCCGGCGCAGAACGCACTAATCCGCGACTAGCAAGTTTTCCTAAACCAAACTTAATAAATTGAATTGTTACTTTTTAAAAATGCTTGCTGAAAATAAAAGAAAGAAAAAGGATCGAGACAGGAACCTTACTCTCTTAGCATAGGCTTGAAGCCCTTAGTTGCAAGGTATTTGACTGTGCCCAAGAAAGGGATGTGGGACAGGCAGCTAAGCAAAAAACCAACCCCGCAGTACAAGTACAACTACAAGAGGGGGCCCTACCAGTCATAGTCTTCACTCTCCCCCATAAGAACTCAATTCCTGGGGTTATTGCTTCCTTAGTAGACATCCCATCTCGTATCTGTATCTGTCATCGAATGTGAGCCCTCATCTCATGCTCCTACTACCTCTTCACTTCAAGTGGGAGTGATGGACGAGTGAAGATCGCCAACTCTTTCTTCCCCTTACCATCCCGGATACCGTGAATTTACTTCAACTTAAATCGGACCGGCTTTTCAAGAAAGATCTGAAAAGATCCTAGATAAGTATAAGATAGTAGCTGGTTGATCTCCAACTTCTTATCGTTTTTATCAAGTGTGACTGGAAGCCCATACTTCTGCTTTTCCTGATCCTTTTAGTGCTAGAACTAGGAACCTGGTTGTAAAGCTCATTCCCGGTCTTGCAACTTGGTCATTTGATCGATTTCCTTGTAAATTCCTAAGCATGAGAGGAAGGAACCGCTTCTCTGAGCCCCCGCTTTTGGGGGGCGGGAGACGCTATGCCAGATAGGGCGCCTCAAATCTTCGAAAAATCACACGCAGAGGGATTGTGGAAAGGCCTGTAGATGTGCTGTGCCCCTTTTGGGGATAAATTCCTCCCGGTCCGGATAAGCTAACTCTTCCTTTTGAGCCAGGGCCAACCGCTATGAGCTGAAAACCCAGCTCTTTACTTCTCCTTTTTAATAAAAGGTTCTATGGCTCTTGTGCTAGAATTGCTTTTGTTTTGGGAGCTCAATTAAAATTCTCGTAGTGTAGTTACAGTCAACACAGTAGCTTTAACGTGAGCAGCGCTTCGCTCCTTATCTTATATAGGCTATACACCGTGCTGAATGAAAAAGTTTCCCCATTCCCATTTCATTTGTAAGGACAACCCTTACCTCCTCTCTTCCAACTAGAATGCTTTTATTTGAGGCGTTCTGGTTTTGCTTATGCACACCGGGCTGCTTAGTCGAAATAGGAAAGCGGTGTGCTAGAGTGATGGATATCTAATTTTTTTCTGAAGCATCAGCTGAACATTTATCAATATGGGTCGCAGTTGGATCCAACCGGTCCCACTCGTTATTCACCCAGCGATTGGATTGAGATTTCCTTTTTGGAATCTTCTCCATCTGAATTAAGTTGTCAGAACTGCCACCATCGAGAAGAATGCGCACGGTGGTGCCTGCAATCGACCCAGAAAAGTAGATAGTACATTTGCCAGAAGTGCCATGATAAGCTTGTAATGACAAATGATTCAAAGTTGGAGAATCATCCGACGGAAGATCCGGTGGAACAGGTTCGGCGACAACAGAGGAGGAAACATCGCCATCCGGTTCATCCACCTGCAGAATCATGTATTGGCGATTCGGACATTTGTGCTTCCACGAGAATTTATCGTCGCAAGTAAAGCACAGCCCCTTTTCCCGTCGCAGTTGCATTTTTGCTGCCTACAATTTATTCACTGGTGGCAGAGGCTTAGTTGGAGGAGACGGAAGGAGAGGCGGCAATGCAGATTTAGTTGACATAAGTGAAGGAGAAGATGAATTGGACAGAGAGGTCCGCATCGATGAGGAAGGCACCATTGGTTTTTCTCGTGCAACCGAACTCTGTAACAGGTAGCGCTCGTCAAATGAACGAGCCAGTGATGCAGCTCGTACCAAGGAAGTAGGAGACTGGGAGTTCGATTTCCTTTATGACTTTCGCCTTGCACCTTACACTAAACTTAATCTCTTGCACGCGCGTATAAGAATACCTTGCTGGCTATTCCTTATTCTTGATAGCACAGGAAAGAGAGATTCCGGAATCTCTTGACTTCATAGCTACGCACCTTTCAAACATACTTTTCTTATCTTACTCCAAGAGCGAAAAGAACATCATATCATCGGTTATACTATCCTGGAGTAGTTAGAGTAGTACTTGCTAAAGCTAAAGGTTTTATCCCGCTAAAAACAGTCTACTAGATAAGCCAAGTAAAGAAGTTAGTGCCAGATACAGATGAAATGGTTTTATCTCCTTTTTACAGAAGTCAATTCCTCCTCCCCCTAGGGGTACTTATATTTTTAAGCTTTAGAGAATCCAGGTCCAGCAGAAGACTAAGTCAGGTACGGTATAAAGTCCAATCAATCTCCTCCAACAGAGGGCTCTGACCTGACCACAGTCAATCAGTCGATTGTTCTGGTTCTAGAGAGTATAACCCCGAAAAGGGAAGACTCCTCGTTTTTAGCCTGGTCCAGGTGTGGCATATCTTTCCCATATAGTAGCCCCGACAAGAGCAGTTACGTCTTTTGCTAAAGCCCTTACTAATTTACTAAACCACCAGGAACTAGTCTGGTTTGATATAAGCCTAGCTACCACGGAAAGCATAGTAAGAAGAGCTGAAAAGATAGCCATCTTACTCTCGGACCTTACCTTAATAAAGGAAGAACTTAAGCCTTTCTTAATAAGAAAAAAAAACCCTAAGATGAGCTAACTTGGCTTAGTGCAGGAAATGGAATCACAGCAAGAAAGAAGGGTAGGGCATACCTTTTTTAGGATTTATACCCTAAAATGACTGAACTTCCTTTCGAACTGAACTACCACGACTCTCGCTAACTGCATCGGATTATGTGGATAAAAGAAGACTAGCTGAAAGAGCTGATTTGATTCCGAACCGCTACGCTTTCTTATATTAGTGTAGTGCGCTTAGCGCTTCCTGAACCAACTGAAGCAAGGAATATGAGGATCAGAGCGCTAGCATCCCTTGCTCTCGATCGATTGCTCACCACCGTCTGATCCGAACAAAAAAAGGAATAGAACAGGGGACACCTTTAGGTGTAAGCATGAAGTACGCCCGAGCAAGCTTAATTCTTTCTATGTAATAATCGTGCTAGGCTATGCCCCTTAACCTTTTGGTATCCAGAAAGAAAAGCAGAGGAAGTGGCTTTGATCCTATTTTCTATCAAAGCAGGTTCTACCACTGCAGGCCCAATCCTACTACCCGGATGATCGTCTTGGGTAAGATCTTTCTATATAAAAATATCAGTTGGATGCCTACACGCGATCCTTTTTTGCTTCCATATATCGAGGAAGATAAAAAGAGGCCTATATAAAAAGTATAAACAACTTAGACTTCTATCATAACACGGATCACGTTGTATATAGATTGGGTGTATGTCTGAGCTATCTTCTTTGTACCATCTAGAGGGCTGGCTGTGATTTCCCGGGGGCAGGACACGAAGCCCCAACATGCATGGTCTAGCAATACGATGGAAACTGGATGTCTGCCTTTGTGAGTACCTATCTTCTTATAGGAAATTGCTATTCAACAAAATATAAGATTGCAAAGATTCAGCCTTAGTCTTAGTAGAAGTGGGTAGCGGCACTGGGTAGACGGTCTATCCCCCTTTAACTTAAGTAGTATTTCCAATTTACTCTATGTCTCTAAAAAAAACCGTAACACAGTCCAGGATAAGTGTGACCGCGTATATATACTATATAGAAATCCTGCCCCACACCCGTGGGTAATGCCCCCGTAACTTCGGGAGAAGGTTTATGAACTCCTATCTATTCAACCTGGCCTATCTTCTTTCTAACAAGAGGACGCTAAAATAAAAATGATAGCGAACTAGAAAGATACTGACAGAAGCAAAATATCAAATCATAGACACCGGAGAGAACGATCATACCAGATGATAGCTATCTTAGAGAACGCTAATTTTACCATCAGAGAGAGCACCCTATTACATACTGCCTCGCTCTTCTCTCTATCGTAGTTCTTTCTCGCAGAGTAAGGATTTTTAATTCTATACTAGTTCCTATGGCGTAAAGGAAAACATTTCGGCTATTACATCTATGGGTCAACGACTTTCAGGAGTCTCTAAAAGAGGGGATGGAAGCAAGGTCCAATCCCATTATTCTAACTTATAATATAATACGATCATCTCACAGATGAAGAAGTGAGCAAGCCTTTCTCCAATGGATTCTAACAGCGCAGACTAGGCATCTTTATCTGATTGAAATTTCTATATTAGTAATAAAGCCCCTTGTTTCAAGGCTAGGGCTTCCCGGTTTAATTGCTATTTGAATTTAGCAGCATTGGCCGTAGAATCAAATATGGACGGTGACTGACCACTAGATCTGTCGATCGAGACCTTGCTTCACCACGCCCAAGCCAGAGGCTAAGTAGAGTTGAATAAGGTGAAGATGGATACCGCTCATAAAGAGCTTGGTTAAGTGGTATGCCTTGCTGGTTGGATAATAATCCCTTCCCTTTCTTTCGACTTGCTTGCTACTGGATTATTATAATATAAGACAAACAGGTTTGCATTGGTAGCTATTCTTAGCGGTGACATACTTAAATAAAAAAAGTAATATATAATTATTGAAGTTAAACCACGGGAAAACAAGCACAGGAAACAAGACAACGGCCAACGATCCGTTCCCTCACTCCCAATAGAATAGATAAAGCAATGAGAAACCGCTCGGGACCCATATTCCCATGGTCCCTTCGCTCAACAAAAAGTCCTAACAATAAGGATATTATCTAACAGATACGCTGTCTAACTACTATAACAAAGTCATCAACTTAGACTACTTTCAGATAAGGGTTGTTATACAAGTCAACTATTATCGTACAGTGATGATCGAAATAACTTTACTGTTGGTGATCCCTTTTCGAGTTCCTTCGTTCCAGTCCAGCGGCGGAAGGGGAGACTTAGATCTTGTCTTCTTTCGCTTGGTTTCCCCAGGTGGTGTGGTTGGGGAGTAGAGACCTCGATGCCGGGTCGTTCCAAAGTGACTTGCTATTGCTGCTGCAGTGCTTCTTGTTCATCATCCAGGAATTTCTTTAGAATCTTTGCCTTCCTTACCAGGAATTGGATTCGAACCAAGTATAAGATATTAAAAATGTCGGAGAATACCCGGTATTTGAGTTTTTAGCATTAACACGATTAAATCTTATTTTTTCCTAGCCGATTCTTCCCTTCCTTCTCTTCTCACTCCCCGGGTTTAGCTCCCGACTGGAGGGAGAGGGGCAAGGCATTAGGGATAGCTGCTTTCGTCTCCAGTAATGGATGGATAAGGTGGTAGTGCAAAATTTCGGAGTAGCCGTAATGGAAGAACTTTTAGCTTGGTTGTCCGGCCCTCTTCACCGATCTCCTAGCCCTACGAATAAAACATCTCCGGGCATCTGGTTTCAAAGAGAGATTAGTTAGTCGCCTTCTGTTCATTCTTACCCCTGACTACCGGACCCCATTGGTTAAGTTGGGGCAGGAATAGCTATCGGACTACGATCACAGGCCGGGCCGACCCTCCTTTATTATAGTCCAGTTGGAGAGGGAAAAGTCCCATCCGTTCCAGAAGTCGCAGAGAAATGGAAGGCTTCAATACCAAAAACTACGGAGGCATGATCTAAAAATGGGTAAGCCCGGTGGTTCAAGTTTAGCCTAGCCAACAACCAACATCAGCTTCTAGGGAGAGTAGGAGCTCCTGTTGCTCCAACCATTCTAGTGAACCGGTCGAGACCAGCAGCTATGAATACCCTGTGCCGGTTGTGCGAAGGCAGCCTCAATAAAAATCAAGAAAAACGTCCTCCTAAGGAAATAAAGCTGATTCACCTCTACCCTATTGGTTAATCCCGAAGGAAGCTTCCCTGAGAGAGCTGCTATAAGATAAGCTCTTTTTCCATTTAGTTTAGAGAGAGTAGCTTGCTTTCCGCGGTATGCTATTCCTTTCCTCTAATGACTCAATTTAAAACCTACCGAAATGGCTCTTTAAAGAAGGGCTTGATTCACAGGAAAATTTTGAGAGGGTCGACCAGTCCATTTATCATCCCACCACTCACCCAAGCAAGCTCAGGAGTTCAGGTGCTACAGATTAGTGAAGCCCGATCGTAAGTAACTTCCACAAAAGATATCTAGTTTTTGTCCTTCTCGGGTTCCAGTCCAATCTTCTGCTGCTGCCCCCGGCCTATACTTAATTTTAGACTTTATGGTCCAGGCCTCAGGCTTACACAAGTCTAATTCTTCCGCTACTGATATTGGATCTGAGCCTTCCTTGAATGAATCACAAACAAAGAGTCAATTGCTTAGCTTATCGACATCGCCCCCTCTTTCTTTCCTTTTGCGCCAAAATTCCTTTCTTTTTTCTATTTAGCTTCTGCCACACATTTGACACTGACACCTGGGCTCCACCTGAGGATCACCCAGACGCACGAGCACAGACTGGTGTACACTCTCTGCACATCGCGGGACTTAGGCCTTTGCATGCAGCACCTGTCTTCCGCAGGTCTAGAGTAGCACAACTGAAGCAAAACCTTCTTTTCGGCAATACGCGCCCGGGAGAGAGAGACATCTCTCGTTATTGCTGCCTTTCTTACTATTTTGACACAGTCGTCTACGTAAAGGTCTGCACTCAGGAGAGATGCAGTCCCCCATGTATGACATCTTTGAGCCTTCACTGATGAATGTTAAGATGAAAGCACAAGAGACTAGCACCCTTTCTCAACCTAAGAAGCTTGCATCTAGGATTCAGACTAGCCCACAATCTCAAAGAAATTCCGAGAATAAGAGTAAACCCATGTCACAAAGCAATCCCTTTCATAAAAGAGAGACCATCAAGAGTTCAGCACTACCAGACTACGGCCTCCACTCAGACAGGTCTAGAGGCGAATTCGCAGTTTCAGCAGCAATAAGTCCAGCAGACTCAGCTTCAACCGCAACAACTTCAAAGAGCCTCAGGCGCGAGAGCAGGTTCAACCAGTGCCGCTACAGCATTCTCAGGTGAGACCAGAAAAAGATCCCTTTCCGCTAGGTCAGTCTCAGCAATACCTACAGCTTCTACCTCAACTTCAAGGGTCAGTCAATACCTGGCAAACCCCTGCTAAACCTTACCAAGATCTTCTTCTATCCAAAGAATCCCGCTAGTAGCCCCTCAGCCTACGCAATTCACTCCTAAAGACAAGAAAGCAACCTATCTTACTAATAATGAAGGTTTTGGCTTGTCCCAATTCTAAACCAAATAAGAGTGCAGGAGACCTAGGTTAGAGGGTTTCTACGCGCTTTACTAAGAAAAAAAGAAGGGCTGAGGTGGAAGCATTTCCATCTATAGTAACCTTAACATCGACTATGTTCATGAATAGTGGGTATAGGTACCGATCGGAGAATAGCTTCAGGTAGCCCCTATAGACGACATCCGTGGGGTTCATCGGAACTATATAACAAAGATATCCATCAATCAGTCATCAAGTATGATCAATCAAGCCCATAATCTAAAATTTCTATTCCGTCCCCCTTTTCAGTTGGAGTTACATAGGAGAGGTCCATTGGGGGCACTAGTTACTGGTTGGGTTACATTGGTCCATAGGCGCGCGAATAGGGTCCTACCAGTCTATTCTTTGGGTTGCCTTCAGAAAGTGTAAGTTCGATTACATCTAGTTCCAAGCGGTAAAGAAGGGCAAAAGAAAGCCTGTAGAAGTCTTTCCGGTCCCTCTGTCCGAGAAGATATGTTTGCGCGCACCGATCTACTGCCCGATTTCTGAATGATGTATCTAGTGGAGGATGGCTATTGGCGCAGTCAAGCCCAATTCTTCCTTGGTAGTTCCACGGATCCGAACTTGATCTGGAATTACTTAATTTCGTCAGGGCGGTGGATGAGGTAGGTTAAAGCTTGAGTGCCGTTTAGTTTGTCTAGTCTGTGCACTTTGAAACAAGCGAAATCGACCCATACTCCTCAAAGAGTAGGACCACCCAACAAGCATAACAGTTGCAATCGTAGGGCGCAAAGAGCTCGTTTGGTTTAGTCTTTGCCCCAATTCAGCATTAATCGGGTATTTTAAGCGTATTGTTGTAACAAGGCCAGGAATTCTTCATAGAGTTGGTGTGCTCCTCTTTTTCGTTTAAGGATAAGTGGGTATGTCTTATTAGGGTCGCTATAGTCTAAGTAAGTAATTTCCCACCTGGGTGGGGGAACCCGAAAAGACAATGGCCGATTCATGTTAACAATGGAATTCGTAATAAGCCCGCAGCGACTCATGAGACTTTTGACTTTTCTAATGTAACTTTTTGATCTAGCGAACTCAGCAGCTTTCCCAATCATGGGCACAATATGTTCCCGACGAAGGCCAAGCTCGCCCACAGCCCCTTGACCACACTCTCCCTTGTAGCCCTATTAAAGACTGATATTCTCTATATAGGGAGGTGTATGTGGGCTTTTTGACTCATACTCTAGCTTCCCAGTTGGTGGAGGCACTAAGTAGCCTTTGGGTATGACGAAAGGCTACAGCTATGCATAGGAAGTCTCAGTTAATGGGATGCCGGGTTCCCTTTGAGTGTAGAAAAGCTGCTGCTCGACTTGAATTGAGGCTTCCAATCTCCTAGCCTAGCCCAAGACCTGGGCAAGAAGGCTGGCTGCTCAAGCGTCTTTTCCAAGGAATTTACCCCAGGGGAATGGGAAGAACTTCATTTCAAGTGAGACTAGTAGAAAGGTGCACGCAAAGGGATTTTGAAGCAGGCTGATGAATGAATGTGAAGAGCACCCTAATAAAAGGATTATGATCGTTAATCGTTAGAGTTAGAATGCCTTATAAAGATGAAGATCTTAATCGATCTGCCTTTCTTTGTAAGTCAACAACTAACCCGAATCCCCGGAAGAAGAGAGTTTAGGATAGTTTTTTTATCACGAAAAGCCCAGCGCTCGCGCTTCTTTAGAGTAATCAGAATTATAAAGGATATCTAAAATTTTATGGAATTACACTCTCTTCCTCTTTCTTTTTAGGGGTTACAGGGCTATGCTCTTTCAAAGAGGGAAAGTGGGGCGGGCGATTCTTATTCCTGTACAGTTTCGTGTTCACGTCCAGTCTTCTCTGTCCACTAGTGCAGCTTCCAGCTCTATGCTATGTATGGTAGTCGTTTGACTCGGGAATCCCTTCGCCCAGCTAGCTCGTCCGTGCCTGGCTTAATTATTTGGCCTGGTACGCAGTCCAGTCCTCTTCTCCGGATACCTCCATTGAATCATGGTTTGAAGGCCCAATTGTCCTAACATCTTGGAAAGCAAAGGATTAAAATCAAGAGCTGATAAGGTTTGGGATATTGTGGCCTTTGTTTGATCTCAATATGAAGTATCATAAAGGTGAGATCAAACCACCAAAAGCTCTGACTTCAAGTTTTAGTTTAGGTGGGACCCGGGTCTCTGGAGGCTTTACTGGTCAAGACTTCTTGGTCTTTGCTCGTGGCCTAAACCAACCACGGGCAAGGAGAGGTGTGGTGGTACTGGGATTAATCCTGGACACCACTCCTTCCAACGCCATCTATCAAAGTGAATAGAAGTCCTCAATCAACTTCCAGAGCAGAAGGATTAGATACTTACTCTTCACGAAAAAGAGCGAGGGTTACTGACAGTCGACCTACGGTAATAGGTTTGAAGATATGGCAACTGGATGTTTATAGCGTACCGAGCCTAATAGGCTTTCTGCTTCAATAGCTCTACTCTCTCTTCATTCTGGAAGAAATGCCAGTGAGTCACGAACGAAGAGTTTGAATCCTCTCTAAAGGCCTTATAGGAAGGCTAGTGAGGCGGCCCTCATAGAATGGGATTCGGACGGAAAAGCCAAAATCCTATGTTACTAATCCGGGGCTTTGGTCAGAATGTCTGTAAAGCATGGCATTAAGTAAGAAATTCCTTCTCTAATCAAGTATGTAGTACCTTTAAGTTGAGACTCTTCCCAACCAACCGTAAGAACTCATACGAGCTGTAGTCGAACGTTAATCAGTAAACGGTGTGATGTTAGCAATTGAATGTGTATCAGCTGTGATCTTTTCTTCTGTGATTGAATCAGTAAGCGCTGCAGATGTGATTCAATATAAGACACTATGTGCAGGAAAGAAGCCAAGTCCAGTAGATTTTTAATTAAAAAAGGAGATGGGAACTTATTAGAGTGTGGCCAAGCCAAGACTCGAGTGGCCAAGTGGATGCAAAGACTATAAAGCCACGGAGTATCCCCTCGGTTCTAGAGTAGGTAGACTAAGAAGAAGTTACGGAAGAAGAAGAGAAAAGGTAGCTGGTTCACGAAATGAAACTGACAATCTCAACTTCCTTACTGACGATATAATAAAGTAATACACCAGCTCCAGGCTTTAAAGAAGAAAGACCAGGCTTCAAGGGCTTTAGCTTTGAGGAAAGAAAGATCCCAAGCTTATGCTGAATTTAGAGTGGATGTGCCTTGGTCTTCTGTGAGTTCCAGAGATTTAGATCAAGGTAGTTCAGTTCTACGAGGCTAATTCCATTCAGTCTTGCTGTGAAATAAGCTCTTGCCAACCTCTGCGGAATATAGTCAGTGTACCGCGAGTAAAGTAAGGCGGTCAAGCGCACTCAGAAAGATTACTTTTTGAAACGTTGAAGATTTAGGTACAATAGAGAAAAGAATTCGCTCAGGTTCACAGAAATAATAAAGAAAGAAGGCTATGGGAAAGATCCCAGACCTGGCTCGCTCCAGGCAGAAAAAATTACTCCTCCCCCAGACCCGGCATAAGAGAAGGGCTGATAGCGCCTATGTGTCAAAGGAGAGTTATTGCCGGGGATCCTCTTCTCCGAGATCTTAGGTCTGCTGTTGATTGTTGATACGGCTTGGCTCCTGATGCCAGGTCCGGGTAGGGATATGTGAGATAAACTGCTGCTAGTGAGGGGCATCTATTCTACTCTGATGCGAGGGAGGAATGCGTATTACGCTTTGAAGAATCCATGCCCTTCATTGCAGGATGAATCAGAGAGTAGTAGTCTATGCAAGAAGAGAAAGACGTCCCAGATACAACCACCCATTTCACTCAAAGATAGTCTCGTTTGGCCTAAGGTGAAAGACGCGGATTGCACAGAGATTAAAATGATATAACCTCCGATCCGGCCTCAACACAGGAATAGCCCTGATCTGCACAACGTTATATCCCAGATCGTTCAGAATGCAAAAAATAGGCCTACGTCCTACCAAGCCCCTCGATCCACCTACCTAGTACCAGTTCCATCACAACCGCAGCCCCTTGTTATCACCATTCCAAGCGCATCATTTTTCGCACCAAAGGTTCCGAAAATCCTGACACTCAGACCCATCCCAAAACCGATGGTTATCACCTATCCACCCTCGAAGGGACCCATCACTATCAGCCTCCTGGAACCTAACACGGGAAATCATGCTGTGCCTTGGAATTACGGCATCGAGGCTACTACCGAACAAGGGGAAAAGAGCCCGAGGTAGGTGGCAGAAATTGGAGGAATGACTCGTTCTGGAAGATGTTATACTCCAGAAGAGTTGGAACTAAGAAGGAAGAAAAGAAAGGAAAAAATGGGAGATATTTAACCTGTCAAGCAGCAGAGGAAGAAATAAAGAACGGAATTCTTGAGGATCATCAAGAACAGTGAATTCAGTGTGGTTTAACAACTCAATAAGATGCCAGTCTATCTTAGGTCTCCTGATAGCATCAGAAGCTCACAGGAATGCCTTACTCAAAATCCTCAATGAACCCCATGTCGCCTCCAATATTTCCACTATAAATCTGGTGGGACAACAAAAAGGTTATCACTTTTAGATAAATTGCTTCTTGCCTTATCAGACTTCAGTCTGAACGTCTGGAAACCTAGGGGCATCGTATATATAGTAAGATAGACAGACCCCAGGGAACTACCTTTCTTCGAAGCGCGACAGGTCTACTTTTCATATTCCCGTAGATAAAGAACGAGAGTCGGCTTCCTAAAATATGTTCTTCCTCAGTAAGAAGAGGGGGAATATAGTAGTGCCCCAATTCTTCACTTTGAACCCCTCCTTTGACTTTCCTAAGGAATATTCGGGGAGGAGCCTATTTTAATTTTAAAAATTAATTCCTGCTATAGTAACTTCAACTGCTTATGAATGTAGTTACCAGATTGCGAAGTTAAAGCGGAATTCCTTTCATTTAACTTGTGACGGTCATTCCCCTGTAGAAAAGAGGGAAAATAGAATCTTTATTTTTGCTCGCAATAAAGTTAGCGTCCTGATGTCCCTTGTGTCGTTGAAAGGAGTCTAAAGCCAGATAAGATCATTCCCTAAGGGACTAGTCCTTCTATCTTACTTCTTCTACCCAATCAGCATGAAAAGGCATTGAAGGGTGCAATACTTCTATCTTTCTGCCACTTCGTCTTGTACCTGTCCTTTTGGGACAGCCTCTCTCTTCACACCTTGAACCAGGACTCAAACCTATCCCTTCTATTATGAATAAATCCTACTTAACCGCTAAAGGAACGTAGTTGCATTTCTATAAGGAGAGGGATTTAAGCTTGTTTGATAGAATAAGGGACATGTATGTTTAATTGCAGGTTCTTTAGAGCTTGGAGTTTAGAAGCATACTTGTTAGAGTCAGGAGCGGAGATACTCGACTGATAAGGCGAGGAACGAAGTAGCGTGTTGTTGATAGAACAAGGTATGAAGTAGCTCGACATGATAAAAGGAGAGGGGTTGGCTGGCTTCCCATCGATAGGTGATACCCTAATTATAGCATGCTTCCTTTCTCTGGGTATGCCTTCGGCTTCTTCCTCAGGGTCATCCCCTGAATGAAAATTATGGGACTACGGAAAGGCTAAAGTCTGATTACCTGTTATTCAAGTAGCAAGGCTTGGTCTTCTGTGAGTGAAAGAACCCGGAGCGATTGGCTGAACTTACCCTAGCTCGAGAAACTTCTATCCCCGCTTTTGTTCAATTATAAATAAATAACAAGCAAGTTTGATGGAGATTTGTAGCATCATTCAAGTAAATACAGATTGAGATCGTAGAAACATGAGCTTGTGATATAGCTACACCTAATTCCGGACCGGTTAATGCAAGAACTATAAATAAAGGACCAAGATCTCCTATGAAATATAAAAGATCATTCATACATAGCATAGTCCAAGCGAACCCACTTAAAATCTTTACTAAACTATGACCGGCCATCATATTAGCAAATAAACGTATTCCTAAGCTTAATGCGCGAAAAAAATAAGCGATTAGCTCAAGGAGTACTAAAAAAGGCGCTAACGGCAGTGGGACTCCTGCGGGTAATAAGAAGCTTAAAAAATGAAGCCCATTTCTTTGAAATCCCACTATAGTAATGCCAATAAAAATAGAAAATGAGAGACCCAAAGTAATGAGAAAATGACTTGTAACTGTGAAGCTATAAGGTATCATACCCTGAAGATTACAAAATAACAAAAAAGTAAAAGTGACAAAGATGCAAGGGAAAAACTGTTGTTTCACATTTCCGGAAAGACCACCTATTTGTTCGTTTACCAGGTTCGGCACGAAATCATAAATAAGCTCTACCAAGGATTTCCAAGCATTGGGTACTGACTTTCCTCCTCCCTTTTTAGTAACAAAATGAACCAGCAGTAAGACCAAACTGAGAGTGAGCAGCATAAACAAAGAGGGATTTGTGAATGAGAAATACAAGTCACCTATCTTCATAGGAAGAAAAGGGATTATCTCAAATTGTTCAAGAGGGCTGGGTATAGGAACCACCCCCGACTCTAAGTATAAGTATAAGTATAAGTTGTCTTTGTATAAGTATAAGTCTAACTGTAAGTACAAGTTCATGGCGAGTTAAGTTAAAATTCTGCTTTACTTTAAGCAATGAGAAAAGACTTGTCGAAAAGGAAATAGCCGGTTGGTTGATCCAGAAATGCAAGGGAGAAAGATGCACAAACGAAAAAGGGAAGAATTTATCGGGAGCAATATAAACTACCCGCTCTAATAGAATTCCATAAACACAACGCGAAGATACTTTACTGAATGACTTGATCGATCGTACTGTACTAGAAAGACCATAATCCTTTAATACGCTATTTTTGATCCAATCTCGCACTTGGTCTGATCCTCTTTCTTGATGTTCCCTCACAGACCCTTTATGTAACCTGATCTTATTACGACGTATCTTTCTTGTCTTGATTGAATACATCATTGATTGAAACAATCATGCAAGAGGTCTGCTACGTCAATTGCGTGCGTAACGAGTTAGAACGGCACCATGTGAGATTATCATCCCGACTCGTTCGATTAATGGTGTTGCTGTCAGCCCTGTTCCTAGAGATCCGGGATGGAGGGACGCAAGATAGAGCAATAGGTTTTCGCCCTTTTTATTTGAATAGGCAACTTTTACACACGGGAACTTACGAATAATGATTCCCTTTGACAGGAACTTGCTTATAAGAGACTCTCTTCGATGCAACTCAAAGGAAGTAGCTCCAGGAGTCCAGAGAGCAAGCAGCCAACGGTCGGAAGATGTTCTAGACTAGCGTGACCGGAACCTCTGAGGATAGAAAGCCCGCTGCTTACCAGATTATGCTAGCAACTTCACACCGACAGAGAGCAAAGATAAGGCGGAATGGAGACCATAGGTCTCCGCGCCGGCTTAAAAAGAAAGGTTTTTACTCCGAGAAGACTTACCAAAAAGAGCCAAAGCGTTCAGGTCAGCAACTCGACCTTCACCTACTTCGGAAGGATCCAATGAAAGTTGGCCCAATTGCTTGAACATAGAACCTTTGTATCCGAGAGTAGACCTGTCATTCAAGAGCAAATTACTTGACTATCAGCCCAAGGATCAGGGCAACCTCTTGGATATCTCGCTTCTTGGCCGCTCTTTACACTGTCCCACCATTTGGTGGTGTGCGGAGAAGATATATCCGGGGAAGCGCTTTGATAAGTATGCTATCCTTGGTGACGATATTTGTATCGCCGACTCAAAGGTCGCAGAAGTCTACCTATCTACACTTAAGGATTTAGGTGTGACTATATAACTTCCTAAGTCTTTAGTCTCAGATGTGGGTGGCGCTGAGTTTGCTAAGAAGTTTAGGTGTAAGAATTTAACAGTGGATTTATCCCCTCTCTTCGAAACCTGGCTAATTCCCATACAATACATGCATGGACTGTATTCCCTTTGTCATCTCTATAAGATACAGAGGTTTTCCACTCTATGTCGATTGTATGGTATTGGTTATAGGCTTCTTGGTAAACTTAACCACACTAAGTCGTCTACAGTCTTACGGCTGAAGGCGATTTGGTTAAAGGCTAAGCTACCTTTCAAGTTGTGGCTTGGCCAGTGCTGTCCTGTCGACCCTTATTTAAAAGGTCGATTGATCTGGAAGCTTCAACAAGCTTTCAGACCTAAGGATCTTGTGGTGCCTCCAACGAGTACTTATAAGTCTGAGACTTTTTAGTACTTAGAGGATATGACACTTCTCAGATCTTGGACTGAAGCCTGGCTCAAGTACGTCAGGTGGTATTACGCTACTGCTTTATCCCCATATGTTTCCATCGAGGATTTTTTCCAAGCTCCTGTTGTTACTACTCGCTCTTTCCAGCGAGTAAAGAGTTTCCACTTCTGACCCGTTTCGGTCTGGTCAGTCCCAAGGTGATCTTGTTGGGTCTGTTTCTGATCAAGCTGAACTTTCTTTGTTGGAAGGGAGTGAGAACCTCTTTGATGCTGAGGTTGCGGCTCATCGAGAACTGTTGCGGGGAGACCATAGCTGAGGCTGGGCTTGATCCTAAACTTCTAACTATCCTAGGTTCTAGGTTAGGTGGAAGTGAAAAGACTAAGGGAGATGCAGATTACAGCATTGCAGATTCAGAGGAGATAAAAGTATAAGCCTTCTTTTTAGTCGTTGATGATTATGTATGCAGGGAGAATCCAAGACCAGTAGAAGTAGACCCTGCCGTCGTGGTTGATCCGGTTCACTGAGGAGCAGGAAACCCTGAATAGGGAATTTATTAAGAGAATCAAGATGTGGCAAAGAAGGAAATCCCCTTTTGAATGCCATCGATATAGATGAGACTACGGTGCCCAAAACCTTAGGCTTAGGACATGACTTATTCCCATAGCTATAGCTTGCTTTCTATAGATGAGCCCTTCGTTCAATGTTCCTTTGGAAGGAAGGATAAAGCGGCACATACCAACCTGCGATACAATCGAGCTTCCATTGATGGATCAAATCCAGCTATAAGTGATCGAGTACTTCCTTCCATAAAATTATAGTTGAGTCAGCCCTAGGAGAACAGCACTTTGAGTCCCTTCTCTCGAGTACTGGTTTGAATAGACAGACCAGCCAAGATTTTTGTTCCAAGTGTTACAGTAACACTCTTGCCCCCCTGTTACCATAAGCTCAATCCGAACTTTGCCCTTACTGACAAGATTAACCATCTGACTCTTGTACCAATCGGGGACCACAAAGTCACTACTCCACTTTTCCACACCTCGGAATTCTACTCAAAAGTTCCATTAAGTTATCACAACCGCGCCAACCGTGTACAGTGCATGCAAGAGTGTCTGCCTACTCTGCAACGAGACCTCAAAGGTGCCAGCTGCATCGTAACACAAGTCCTCCCACCAGGCCTCAATTCATTCGACGGTCTGAACTCTTGACTTGACAGCACTACTACCATCCATTGCTTGATGAGGAGTGAGGAGGGCGGTGTGAAGGGATTGCTAACGAAAAGGCTTTGAAGCCTGAAGAAGAAAGCATTTATTGGGGCTGAGCAGGCTGAACTGTGAATCATATGACTGAATAAGGGCATATGGGATGGCTTTGCCTATAGTACAATCAAGTCGCTATCTTCTACGACTGTAGATGTAGGTAGATATCGGGCCTTCTTCGTTCCCCGAATCTGTTAGTCAGTGAATAGTCCCACCAGTATGTAGAAGAGTTCGTCCCAGTAGTAGTCCACAAGCTTTGTTGGTCACCGGACACAGTGAGAACTGCTCAGCTTGCCCTAGCACACACACTAAGTAGATAGTAGGCACAGGTCCGCTAGGAGCTCATCGAACTGAACTTGTAGAGTGAGACCTGTGCTCGATATGGTTTATTTAACTGCTCTTTCTCTCGGTATGCTTCACCACATGCCTGTGATCTCTTTCTCTTTCAAGCTAGGCGGTATCTATAGGAAGTGATCGAAGCATCGGTGAAATGCCATACTTAACACATGCAATTTGCGGATTGCACCTTTGATATCCGCTAAGAACTTCCCAATCAAATAGATCTCCCCTGGCTGGAAATCTCACCGGTGAAGTTATAGCTCTCTAACAAGCGATGAGGGACGAGGTTGCCCGGGTCAACGGATCGAAGGCAGTATTTAACGTTCCCACCTGCAACTACGAACTAGGCTAGCTGACCTAGCAGTGAAAGACGAGAGAGCTGACCAAGAATATTTGTCCTAGATTCATCCCTAGCGGCTTCAAAGCCATTAAGATCGTTACTTATGGGAATGAATAGTCTTTATAGCACTCTTGAAAGCGCAACTCCAAGAAAAGAAGAGGGGCTTCCCTCAGTCCATGAAGGTGCTTTCTTTATTGATTGGTAGATTGATGCTAGCTGTTATGCTAAGCTAAGCAATGCCGCTTATAGCAGTTGGACAAGGAAAGGCAAGAGCGAGCAGCCACACATGAACCGCGATAAACGATGTCATGATAGGCTTTCCATAACCATCTTTCCGTAATCAAATCCTTCTTTCAGTCTCCCAATAAACGAAAAAGGATTGCTGCGAAAGCTGTGCTCGATTTCCTGCGCTAAGAAAGGGGAGTGCCCTATTTACCAAGAGGCTGCAGGCCAACTCGGAAAAGAAGGAGTTGCTATCGAATTCGAATAGGCTTAAGAAAAGGCTGTCACAGAGAAGGAGCAAAGTAAAGGGAGGAAGGAAATGGGCAAATAGGTTCAATCCGTAACTGAAAGTAGGAAAGTCAGAAAGAAAGACATAAAGCAAGGGAATCTGGTAATCCTACTGCTACTAAGACTACTCCGTCTTAGGGCTAGGAGTTAAGGCGCGGCGTAACGGGGCGTAACAGCTGGTGTTCTAATCTGAGCTAAGAGATAGGAACTGCACTTCGACTTGATTTATTCTACTTCTCCCTCTCTAACCCAAGTCCTAGAAGTGAATGAGGTTTTTTTCCTGGAATAAATTTTGAGTGTGAATTTTCACTAGTGCTGTGCTTACTCTTTAGTGGTAGAGTTTGCCAGAAAAGCAAAGCCTTAGAGTTCTAGCGGGGTTGCTCTATAATCAACTCCTTAAGAATAGAGACTTCTTTGTGAAAATGTCCTTAGAAAAGCAAAGGCTAAAGCCCATACCATACTGAAATGTGTGAATTCTAACTGTCTTGCTTCTGAAAAGCTTTACTTCTTGGGTACGAAACTTTTGTTTCAGCTATCATTCGATCTCGAAAGAGTGCCTTTTGGCTTTATCCTTGTTGGGCATGGGCTAATTCTTGAAAGCAGCAGCAGCTACTCCTACCGCTACTTTAACAGAAAAACTACCGATTCTCATCCTCAAGCCAACTCGTTTTCTTTACATCAGGGTGGGTCAAGAGCGGCGGGATCGGGATAGGCATTAGGGGATTTTAGAGTGCCCTTACATCTAGTTTCTCCACTATGTTGTCGAGCTACTTCGTTCCTATCTTGTAATACTATTAAACTCCTGTAGCAAGAAGGAGAGAGGAAGGGAAGTTGGTCACCTGCAGAAGTAAACAAAAGACTGGTATTGTAGCTGAAAGAGTTTCGAATCAGTGTTCAAAACTGATTGAGGGCTCCCGAAGAGGCTAGTTGACTCACTATAGCTATAGTCTCAATCTGGTAACCAACCAAAGCGCATGCATAACTATGGCTGCCATTTATGCAAGCATTCTCATTCACAAGCCCAAAAAGCAAGAGCAGTCTCTTCATAGCACCCAGCACCCGGCAGTCCCTTACCTATAGCCTTCCTTGGACCATAGGGGGTTACCCTCTAGAAGCAGTTTCCTTCCGCCCTGCCTTAGCAAGAATAGCATTATTAGCCTCTCTAGTAGTTCTAATGCCAAGACCTCCATCTCTCTTCCTTAAAGGAACTTTGTCCCAACCCACCAGGTGCATCCCTTTTTTAGTAGGATTCAGTAGACCATAAAAAGTTTATATTGATTTTGTCCAGCAGGGTACAAGTATGAGCAGGCAGTAAAGTAGTTTGCATAACATAGTAAGGAAGGGCAGTAGTAACAGCCTGAATAAGAGTAGCTCTCCCAGCGGGGTTAAGGCATTTTTCCTTCCATCCTTGCAACCTCTTTTTAACTCTTTAAATGATGTAGTTGAAGGTACTCTTGCTAACTTTTGAGTGGAACAAAGGGATACCTATAGACTTTCCTCGGTTATCAGTGATGTGGATGCCACTCTCTTCTTGAATTTCTCTCACCAAGGATCTAGGAGTCTTTGGGCCAACAAAGATTTTATACTTTTGAAGATTAACTTTATGGCCAGCTTGTTCACATCACATAAAAAGTTTTCAATAAGAATCTTAACTTATTGGAGCTGCTGCTGAAACAAGATAAGAAAAGGAAAGAGTTAGAGTCTACAACTACAACCTCCCGCTTGAATTGGAATCTTAGCCCTTGGAATCAAAAGACAAAGAAAGAAGTCTTGGAGTGAGAGGTTCCTCTGTAGCCAGTTCCAATTCATCTTAGTCGATCGAGGGGTTCATCTTTCGAAGTGATAGTTCTGGGCGTCTTGGTATTGGATCCGCTTTTCTCTCGTTCTCTTCTGGGCGGTACAAATAAATTAGGAATGAGCGCACCGAAAGACAAGACAACATAGAAAACTCATCCGCTTGTCAATTAATTCTTGGTGTAATACTAACTTCTAACTTTTTAGTCTATGAGCTTTCCTCCCCCCCATTTTTGCTGCGTGAACGATATCCCCGGTCATTCACTATCAAAACCACCGACCATCCATCCCTTCTGTCTAAAAGAAGGTGAGAGCTTATGACGGCTTGGAGCACCCGCTGATAGGGAACGCTTTGTCGGGTGCCACGTTCCGTTATCTGATTGACGTACGACCGATAGGTACGCTCCGTCATAAGCTCCCCCCGCGGAGAGTGGAGATGGTGCTTCTCCGTTCGAAAGTAAGAACAACTTCCATCTGACCGCTTTCACGCTTCCTGAATCCTGCCGGTGAATCTAATATGAATAGTTCGCCAGGGGGGATTTTATCTTCAGGTAAGGTGCGTATTGTATCGGATAAAAGGCTGCGAATAGGCCTCCTCTCTTTCCAGCGCTCTCCTCTACCCCTAACATTTTGTTCCCTTCCCTCTTCGCTAACCTCTATTCCGTTGAATGCTATTCAGTCTGGGATCGAGCCCAACTATTATAATTATAGTTATAGCTTTCTTCCAACAGCAGATTCATTCACAAGAACCGATGCCGTACTGCTTCAGTGGAATGCTCCGTAACCTTACTCACTATCTTGACTAACTTAACTATCTTCTTTTAATGAATGCCCTAGGCAGGCCTTCTTCACTAGCGCAACCCTCCCTAACAGCCTATGAATGTGCAGTGGAATCCCGTTCGTATTCTTCCTCAAATATGTAACTTTTCCTTTATCTGATTGCAACCTATTGATCGGATTTACTGTGCGCGGATATCTTCACTAATGATTCCACCTCCTACTCCTTCCCCGGCACACAAAAAGAGTGCTAAAGTCGGAAATAACTCTCTGTCCAAAGTATGGAGCTTTTTTAGCTCTAAAGGTGCGAAGCGATAAAACTTATCCCAATAGGAATGTGAATGAGAGAATAATATTTTTTATTATATAATAACATAACTAAGATCTAGGAGAGAAAAAAAGTCTTACATATTTTTAGATAGACTTTTTCGTGTCATATTTGAAAGTCTGAAATGAATGGAAAAAAGCATGGTAAAACTACCATAAGAGGGCCCTTCATGGCAGTTGGTAGTCGGCAACCAGTCTTCTTTCTTTAAATAAAAGGCTCAGGGCAGAGACATTTTTTATTTGAGAATAGCAAGTCTAGTCCAGGTTTAGGAGCACATCCCCGGTAGCAAAGGAAGAAGGAAAAAGTGCGGCAGCTTTAGCTGCTTGTAGAACATTGTCTGAAGAGCTCACTGAAATAAGGTTTCCAGCTCCTAGGATCGATCCTTGCATTCAAATAGGGGACCTCTCAAGCTCGATATTTTCTTTCTGATACCAGCACACAAAGATCTTCCCTATGAACAGGAGGCAAGATTTCTGCAGCTCCGAACTTTGACCACGAAACAGAGAACAAGGATGAAAAGAAGCTTTCTTCACTTTGACGGTCGACGGTCCTAGTGTGAGTGGATGCGTAGTTTGAAAGTATTTCCACCTGAACCAGGGTCGTGCTTAACCTTTTTCTGGGAGGAGGTCCACATGGACTTAGAATGAGGAAGTAAAGCATCGAATTCCATGTGTTCAGCATGGATTTCAAGATGAGGAATAGCACAAAAAAAAGAGGAAGCGTCCGGCATTAGAGATGGCTTCAGACTCGACCTGAAAGGTGCCAGTTACATCTATTGGACCAGACGGAAATACAAGCTGTCTTGTAGCATGCATGGGTTCGACGTATTCTTTTGCTTGAATTCGACTAGATCCCTTCCCGCCTAGTAGTTCTCACTGGTAGGCTACCGGGGAAACTCGGTGGAGCCGCTGGTGGTTCTTTGTCTCTTTGGCCCTTAGTTGGCGCCCTAGTCGACCTCTTCTCTTTATCAATTCCACTTTATGTAAACCCCTGACTCTGTGTCTCGCGCTTTTCAGCCTTAATTCCATTCCCGTAATTCTTATATTAAACTACATACATCAATTAAGAAAATAGTATAGTAATCAAAGATAAGATAGAGTCTTACTTACTAGTGGCCCTTTCGGGGACTCTTGGGTGAGACTGGAAAGCCAGACTTATTATACCCTTCCCTTCGTGCCCCTCACCCGAGGTCACCTGTTGTCCATTCAATCCGATCGGGGAATAAGCCAAAGGACAACCAAGACCATCCTTCCGAGGTTTAGGTTCAAGGGTTGATTCGAAGACGTATCTCCCTAACAAATAAAGAAAGCTTTTTGCCTCCTTGCCTCTGTATGAGCCTTTTCGCTAATATGCTCGGAAAGTCATGGTTCCTTGCTTGTGGAGTTCCTTCTTGGATTGAGGGAGTACGGAACCAAGCCCGGCCCGATGTTCTCTCCCATTAAGTTAAGCAATTTCGAAATGAATTCAAGGCTTGCTTTTAGAGCAATTAAGCTGAAAGATGAATTGAGAAGATCCAGAGCGAACTAATGAGTTTGAGTTCATGAGGTTTAGAAGCGAAATTGCACGAGCATTAGAGTAGCTAGGATTTTATACGAGTGAGACGAAGACTGGATGGTTCTTACAGACCAATCTCGACAAATAACATAAATTGGACAGTAACGAATACGAATTCATTCAATTCTAAATTCTTTGTCTCTCGACTTATAATTATTTAGAATGGATGCACAGAATCCACAGCTATTGAATCCTATCTTTGAAAGAAGGAAGAGGCATATGCCAAAGAAGAACGGCATTTACTATAGGAGGAAGGAAGGAAGCCAGGGACACGTGCAGACGCTTTTTTTTATACCGGAGAAGATGATTTTCGGCATATGAGTCTTACTCAGACATGAAACAGAATCCGTTTTGTCCGTGAGTGGGAGCAAATCTGTACCTGAAAGCAGGAAAGATCCAATTCCATGTGTTGCGAAAGAATAAAGAATGGAAAGACGGAAAGCTACTCTTCTTACCGAATAACCCCTCACCTTGACTTCAAGCAGGATTGAATCAATCAAGGGGACTCAGCTGCACATTCATATGAGTAAGCTCCTTCTTTAAGTTAAGGCCCAAATGCCATGATCAGAAAAGGAAGTAGAATAAGGGAAGGTGCCAAGTCTTTTATCTCCTTTGGGAGTCTCTCGTCCTGGGACTTTTCTTGTCTGTCACTTGAATTAGGTTCGTTCCAGTAGCTTGCCAAGGTTCCTTTGAGGAGGGGTGTTTACAAGGGTTTTGGAATGCAAGAATGTAGTGGTAGACGAGAGGGAACCCGAAAATGCAGATGTAACCCTAGACTGTGAGTCCAGGTGATTTGACCCTTCGTAAAGATTTGATTCGAGGCTGACCTGCTCCAAATGCTGATTCTGCACAGGTGTCCTCGTTTTATCTGAGTGAGGATTTGATTTGTCTCGCTCCTCTTTCCGGACGAGCTGAGATAGATGCTCTTTCAGGTCTTCGTTTTAGGGTTCCAAACCTGACTCTAACAAGTAAGTAAACTACCTTGATTGGGAATAAATTAATGGAAGAAAACCAACGGCAACTTCCACGGAGCCAGTGAGCTGATTGCTCTCCAGGGCCTTTATCGAAAAGCTTCATCGCTCGGATTTGTGTTGTGGCTGTAGCCCCGAAACAGAGTAATAAGGAGGCTGAGATGAGAAAAGAGAGACCTCACGGGTGAAACCAGTACGGCATAAGCCATAGGTCCGTCCTAACTAACGATATGGAAAATAGGCCTTGGCCTTTTCTTCCTTCCTTGAGGACCAAACCGATCTTCGAAGTTGAAACCCGAAAGTGAAGTTTGCTTTGCTTCTTTCTTTGCTATGAGAGTGAAAGCTGCTCAGAAAGGTCTTGCTTTTCCTATTACCGAATCGACTGCTAACAGCCGGCCTTACCTTAAGCGCGTTACAAACTATTGTTCTTGACAGGTTAACCCCTACACTGGGGAGCAAACTGCCTATCTGGGAGGCTTTCGATGGGCCTATTGGGGTAAAATTCTAACTTCCGCTGTTGGACCAATACCCCCCTTGTATTCCTCCAGGTCAAATGAAAGTGTTGATTTTTGTTCTTCTCTATCTGCTATTAATACGTATATCGCCCTCCTGAGAGGAATATTTTATCCATTAAAGGAGCACCTCAACAGCAGGAGCTGGTATGGACTTTGCTTCCCTCCGTGGATGAACCGTCTTGATTCATTCATTTTCTTCCGTCATTTATGCACTTCTTTAGGAAAGAGCTTTGAGACTTCCTGCCCAAGGAGATAATGTGAACCAATAATTAATGCGATTATCAAAGAAGCGGCTAGACATAGGTCAAAGGTACAACCGCTACCGCCAGTAGGATTTCCTTGCTTTACTAACCTACGAACCGCACCGCACCGTGGGCACCACGAAGGGACTAGTGTTGGAATAAGAGTCAAAGACGACGTGGACGTCATACAACACAACACAAGCAAAGACAGGAGGTCATTTCCATCCCGAGTCTCAAACAAAGAGGGTGCTGGTTAGTTTCCTTGCGGCTGCCCTAATAATCTATAGGATTTATTCAGCTTTCTCTGAGGCTTGAGAGTCAGTGCCTCTTGCCTTTTCCCAATCAGAGTTAAGCTAGCTCATTTCAAGAAAGCAAACAAGTGCCCGTAAGGCAAGCCTTCCTTTGAAAAGTGGAGTGGTAGTTTTCTTTTATGTCATGCCAGTTAAGGCAGTGGATGCCATTACTTGACTCAATCTATCCGGGTGATCGAAGGCGTATCGCGATCGACGCTTATTATACGTTGCTTCGACTGCTGTGTACATCCCCAGCCAATAAGAGAAGAGGAGTGGGTACCAGACTCCCTAAGAGGAGATAACAGTGGCTCCGCGCCCCCTAACTACTGAAGACCTTAAAGAGGTGGTTGAGTAAGGCATAGATCGCTGATTCTATTAATTTAATTCTTTGAAACTACGCGCTAGACTAGACTACCCTCTATTTTAATAGTAAGATTTTATATTATTGGCTATTGGCACTTCTATAGAATAGAAAGAAGGTCTTGAAGAGCCTCGTCAAAAAGTACGCCCGCCCAAAGACTTATTTCCTTTAAGCAGAGACCCTTTTTCTGTGAGGGGCCAGTCTTTCAGTAATTTCCGAGGGCAATAAAAAAAGCTCTTGGCCCACCTTTCACTCTGTTCACGGTTAGCCGGGAATGAGACTGGGAGTTGGGCTTTAACCTCCTTCTCCTTTACCGAAAAGGGAAAACTATGCTATACCAGCGAGTGGGGAACAAGAGTCAGAGATAAGGTGAACAGATCTCAGAGCAGGCTACGAGAGTATATTAAATATGTCTGGGCCTCTTCGGAAGGCAGTTCAAAGGGGAGCTATCAAGGCTCAAGGAAAAGTATCACCTCCGTCTAGTGCTACTATTAGGGAAGTAGACGAACGATCAGGCTTCCATCTACCACTCTAAGGGTTGGAAGGTATATAAAAGGACGAGGAGTTCAATAGTAGGGAAAAGCCTTAGCCAGACGAGTGGCTTATTAAGGAATCATGGCACTCAAGTCCAACTTTAATAGATTACTTTCTCTTAGGGAATTAGCCAGAGGGGAAGGACTCAATCATAAATCATACTCAAAGCTATAAAACATTCAGTTTTAATGAGTGAAGAATAGTCTTTAAAGCGAAGTCTTCATTTAATCAAACATATATTTTTAAAAGATTTAGGAAAGGGTGGTATAATTTAGAATGTCTAATTTAATATATAAATCATATCTTTCAGTCTTTTATTGAAGTCTTAATTACAGAAGGATTACTTCCCTTGTTGCTGGGACACTTTACGGCTTACCGTCTGGAAAAGATTTTGAGGATGTTCGACTCTTAATAGGTGACTCGTCTGCAAAAGGGTACGTATGCTTTAACATTAGATCCGGTAAAGGCAGGAGCTGGTTAAAGGGCAGAAAGATTAGTTCAAGTTTCTTCCGCTTCATCTCCTCTGATAGCAGTATAAAGACTTCATACCTCTCCAAGCCTATGAGCTTCAACACCTGCTCTTCCTCCTTTCAGGTCCAAGGCGAACAATGCCTAAAGTACAGCAGGATAAGACTGAATGGGAGGGGATAATAAAATACCTAAACTAACCAAGGGATAAGATTCTTTTCGGGTAAAAACTT